GGCCGTTTCGTGTTGAAATCTTTGGTTTGATTGGCTAATCACCTAACGAGATCATGTGATATGAAAAATCGATTAGTCGCAACTATAGTTGGCAACTAATCGATTGGCAAAATTTTTATCAACTCGGAACACTAGATGCAGTACAAATTTTCCGGAAAATGGCAGAATTATGCATGCAGATTACGAAGATCATTCCGGACCACAAAAAAAAATTTTTGAAAAACACAAAAAAGCAGTTTAAAACTATCTTGGTGCACTAACAAAAACCTCTAATTTTAATGCTAAGTTGACAAATAATTCTGGCTAATGCAGTTAGGCGATATAGAAATTGATCTGCAATATATTAAAAGATTATTCTAAAACCGATTTCTATTTAAAAAAAAAAGCGGTTTTCATTATCTAAAAAAACATTTTAAAAAACCTTTAAAATTTTCTTGCAAAAGTTATTCTATAGATCCACGAGGCCGCAAATTTTGTCCTATAGAACTAGAAAGAATTTTCCAATTGCAGATCTTTTATCAAAAAAGGTGATAAAATCCCTGACTGTAATATCTGGAAAATTTGTATCGGTCTATTCGTAATTGTCTAACTACTGACGAAATAGATCGATCACAGATACAATCACTAAAATCATTATAAAGGTAATTTGTAATGCGACTTTAATTTTTACCTTTTCTTTTTCACAGACTTTTATGCTAATCATGAGGACAAAAATTACGACGATTATACATTTATAATAAAAGGGTGTAAGTTTAACTTGGACCATTTCTCCTATTACGCTTTTGAAGGTTGAACTCTAAGAGTTGAACCTTCGCACTATTAATGTATACAATATGAATAAATTTATTATATCTAACGTGTTTTCTATTCTCACTATATTCACCTGAGCCCTACGTATACATTATGTACACTGATACCTACACCATTATGTACACTGTTACGTACACTACATTTAACATATGTAAGAAGTATCCCATCTGAGGTAACGACTGCTTTTCATTTACTATTTTTGGTATCCTTATCAAAATATGTACGTACGTACGTACGAAAAGAGAAACGCAGATGACAGAAAGTCAAAAATAGAAAAATGGTGAACCGCCACCCCAGTATCTGTCACAACGTAACTGTGATTCCAGTCAAGTGTTTGTTATATCCATAGTGATAGTTGGTGTGTATATTTCGATCATGTATTATCATTTATTCAGAGGCTAAGCGTTCTCAAGAACCTTTCTCAATGAATTCGACAAAGAAACTGATCAGACAGACAAATCAGATTGTTTGTTGAGTCCATTGAGAAAGGTGCTTGAGAACCGAGTTCGAGTTTTGGTATCCTTAGATCAAAATAAATCATCACCAAATTTGGTTCAGTTATTTATTTTTAAACAAAAACTGTTGTTACGACTGAACCAAATTCGGTTAGATTATTTTTTCTTTTTAATCTAAAATTTGGCTAACATTATTTTCATTTATTTTGAATTCTGCAGTTCAGATTTTTGAGAATAGTTTTCACAATATCATTAGGGTAAGTAATATATGTAATATGATTACGTGGTTTAAAATTTTTGACTTATGGAGATTAAACGCTTCTCTTCAACCTTCCTTTCTTTTAATCTCTTACAATTTTTGATTTGTTGAAGTCTTTCAAATAAGAATGGTGTGAAAAGAATATTTTTAAGGGCACAGGTATGGGACACTGCCACAAATGAGAGACCGGCATTATACTCTTTCTACCAAGATTTATCACAGCCTTTGGTAATGTTAATCCTTAGCTCTTATGTACTGTAATAGCCCAGGCAAGGCTAATAGAGATTTGCAAATGTGAGCAAGTCACCGTATTTGTCTCCCAGGTACATCGGATAGGTGAAATTGGGATAAGTTTTTTACCTTCTATAGATATAATCGCAGGACCAGTATAATTATCGAACTCTATGAAGACAGCTATAGGAAGAGAAGGTGGGCCCTGATCATTTTCGAATAGGATATTATAGACCATTCCTATTGTACTATTAACTAACCTTGCTTTCACGCATAAATTTGCTCTAAGCATAACACATGCATCTCTGGCCAACAGTAATTGTGCCTCAAGGCTTTTTGCTATGTCTGAGTCAGCTTTAGATACTTTATTACCACCTGTATGAACAGCGTGAATCCTAGCAACGAGTCAATTTAATGATCTGTGTTTACTAATATTAATTTTATCAATATCAACATTCCGAGACAAGATGTATATGGCATCTGAAAAATGTTCATATTCTATAGGTATTATATTTGATGAACTATTGAATTATATAGCAAGCTCTATCCAATTATCCAACATAGATTTACTATTATACAACTACAGCAAAATATTTTTAAAATAGTGTTGTTCATCCGAATTACCGGATTGACATTGAATAATATCAAGTTGATAAACTTCTTGGAACTGTTTATAGGCTCTAATGTTATTGTTCGATAATGAGTCATAGCTAAAGTTTTGCACGTATATAGGATAATTAAGTACTGGTAGAAGTTGATCAAAATTGTTAACCAGAATGACTGATCGATCATCAAATGGTTGATCTTGACATTCAGGAAAGGTCTGATGTAGTTGCATATCAATTAAAGCAAGTATACAATGCCTCACCATGCTTTTTTCATTGATTATGACATAAATCATACTATTTAAACTTTTTTGCAACAGCTTCAGACGTTTACCAGCTATATCGTAGTTGGTTCTAATTACTGGAATGAAGAGTGCTGAATGGATTGTTTCTTTACAAATATTAAATGTCGCAACCCAGTTGGTACAAGAACAATCACAGGGGAGTTCTCAACTTCATTATTTTTTGCTATCAATTGAAGTGTTCTTAGAATTATATTAATTAAAAAAGATTTATCTGTTCTAGCAGTTCCCATGATAATAATTCTGAGTGGTTCAGAAAAATTATTATCTATGACTATAGTATTATAGTGTGATTCTATTCACTTAAATATCTTCAACTGTTTTTTGTTTAAGGTATAACAATCTACAATATTCGGAACAGAATTTTCAGCATTGATATCATCTCTGTTACAAGCTTGCTGTAAAAAAATAGTGGTATTAGCAAGATTAAAATCAGGATAATAATTAATATCAACAGTCCAATTGTAATTCTAATCAATATCACGTAAACCTAAGTCAGAAGAACTATCAACTATTGCATTCGGGCCCATTTCTGATAAGATCATCCAATCTAATCGTATTTTTTCTTCATTATCATAGGTTTCCTGTTGCACCTTCTCATCTACAATCTCATCTTCTAAGTTATCAAGAGATGGGCCAAGCAAATCAGTAAGTTTACTTTTTATTTTTACAAGATTGTGACTAAAAAGTTTTGACCAAGAGAGCGTATCATTTTCTGTTAACTTCTGAAGGCTTCAGTGATAAACATGAAGCATAATCTTTATATGGCAAAACTTTTTCTACTGAGGGCTATTGCGTTGAGACAATAGTCTTGGCCAAATACGTATAATATTTTGACATTCACATTTCTTTCAGTAGTCATTGTAAAATCTATAATTCAGATAGAGCTGAAAAAGTAAAAGATTTTTAAGCTCATTGGGTCAGCACCAGTACTTTTGTAAAAATGATCTTTTTGTTTGCTCAACTTCTCTAGTTGTCACAAAATTTTCACTTCCAGTATCATGAAGCCACCTTGATGTTTTCTTGTTGAGATTTAAAGTAATAAATTGATAACTAGAATGGTAGAAGGGGATGCCAAGAAGGAGGTAACATGTTTTTTATGCGAAGATATCACACTTAGTAATGGTATATAATAATAGTTATTAAAATAAGCCAAGAGAAGAATCTGAAGAATTATTTTCATGAAGAATTTGATTTAATATTTCCAAAAAGCTACAGAACATGGTTCTGAT